GTGCAGATTTGTTTTCACACCCTTGTCTCATTCACCTTTTGTCACAGTCTCATGAGACAGATAGGCAGGCCAGGGATTATCCTCCCAGTTTGATAGGTATGGGACTAAAGTTCAGAGAGAGACCTGTCCATGATCTCACAGCTAGTTAATGGCAGAGCTGGAAATGGATCCCCAGTCTCCTGGCTCTTGGCACATGCATGAAGTCCACTCACTGTGAGATGGAATTTCAGCCTGCTTGGATCTTTTGACCCCAAACCATGAGTTCTTGCTATTTTGTGTTGCTGAACTTCCCACTGCCTTGCTGTGATTATGGGTTGAAGACCTGAACAGTGGGGTTGGAGGAGGTGTAAGGAACTGAGGGTAGGAAAGGGAGAATGTCTCTTACTCAGCATACTTTAGTAAGGACTTGGTATTTTACTGAGTGTCCAGTTTTCTCCTCAGAGAGGAAATAAAGAAAAACTAAAGGTCAGATGTATTTAGTTAGACTACTGTTAATTTCTTGCATATACTTAACACTTCCTATGTTACAAAGGGCTTATGCATGTGTGTGTGTTTAATTCACATACCATATATCACTCATTTGAAGTGTACAAGTCAGTGTTTTTTTAGTATATTTGCAGGGTTGTGCAACCATCACCACAATCTAATTTTGGAACATTTTTATCACCTCAAAAAGAAACCTCATACCCATTAGCAGGCACTTCCCATTCCCCATCCTCACCCTAGCCCTAAGCAACCACAAATCCACTTTCAGTCTCTGTATATTAACCAATTCTAGACATTTCATATAAATGGAATCTATCTTCTTTTCACTTAGCACAATGTTTCAAGGTTCCTACATGTTGTAATATGTATCCATACTTTATTCTTTTTACTGCTGAATAATATTCCGTTGTATGGATATGCCGCATTTTGTTTATTTATTGATCAGTTTACAGTCATTTGGGTTGTTTCTACTTTTGGCTTTTATGACTAATACTGCTGTGAACATTCATGTACAAGTTTTTGTATGGACATATGTTTTTATTTCTCCTGGGTATGTGCCTACAAGTGGAATTGCTGTATCATATGGTAACTCTTTTTGAGGAACTGTCAAACTGTGTGTGTGTTTATAAATTTACTGATATATATTTCCCATGCTATGAAATTCACCCATTTACAGTATACAGTTGAGTGGTTTTAGTATTTCACAGGGTTGTGCAACCATCACCACAATCTAATCTTAAAAAATTTCCATCACTTAAAAAAGAAACACAAACCTCATTAGCAGTCATGTTCCATTCCCACTCCCCCATCCCAGGCCCCCAGGCAACCACCGGTCTACTTTCTGTCTTTATGGATTTGCCTATTCTAGACATTTCACATAAATAAAATCATTCAACCTGTAGTCTTTTATCATTGGCTTATTTCACTTAGCATGGTGTTTCGAAGATTCATCCATGTTGTAGCAGGTATTAGTACTTCATTCATTTATGTGGCTGAATAATATTCCATTGTATAGATATATCACATTTTCTTTATCCCGTCTCTATGTCTGTTATCACATAGTGGTCTCCCTGTATGTCTGTCTGTGTTTTCTCTTCTTATGAGAACACCAGTCATTAGATTAGGGCCCACCCTAATCCACCATAACCTCATCTTAACTCATTTTGATTTAATTACATCTGCAAAGACCCTATTTTCAAATAAGGTCACATTTGGAGGTTCTAGGTAGGTATGAGTTTTGGAGGGACACTATTCCACCCAATATAGGCACCAAGGAATAATCATATAAATTCAAGTAGAAATCTTTTAAAGTTGCAAGCAAAAGTGGGATTTTGGCAAGGTTTACTGCCAAAACAGCTTTGAAAGAACTTCTCTGGGTCTGCAGACCATAATAGAGCTCACTGGTTTTATAGACATAGCTTTATGTTGGTAGAATGAAATTCCAAGTGTCTGTGGGCCCAAGTCATCCTAACCCTTACTTCCTTTTATTAACAGACTTTGAAAACCTCTCTGATTTTGACCACAAGAAACAAGCTTATTTGGATTTTTGAGCTAGGGAAAATTCTTTTATTCATTCAAGAAACATGTATTGAATACCCGCTACGTGCTGGGACTGTTCTAGGCACTGGGAGTACAGAAGTGACTAGAACATATTTTGAGTACCTACAACATGCAGAGTTTTCTAGACCCTTTATGCATTTCATCCTTATAACCACCCTATATCAGTTTGTAAATAAGGAAACTGAGACTCAGAGAGGTGAAATGATTTCTCCAGCTCTTCAGGTAGGCTGTCTGGGTCACAGCTTTGATTCCGCAGCCTGAGCTGGAGGCAGAGGGCTCCAGAGGTGAGGACAAATCATTCCTCTTTTATACAGACGCACAGCCCAAGCATTCAACATAGGGGCAGTGAAAGATGTTTTGGGTGACAAGGCAGGATAAGGAGGTTGTGACAAAATGGGCTTTCTTGTCAGACTGGGGAACCTGGACTTAATTCTGAAGGCAATGAGGAGTCAGTGAATAATAATGAAGGAGTATGATGACTTATGCTGTGTACTTTATTTAATCAACACATATTTATGGAGTTGCGTTGCACACGGGGCTTGATGCTGGGTATAAAACTGTTACAAAAGAGACAGAATCTCTGCCCTCAGAGTTTACAGCCTGATATGTGGAGTGATGAGACAGAGGTTGGTATTTTCCTGAAGTTCTGTTCAAAACAAAAGGCAATGGTGGTGAGAAACAAGGTTTAAGAAGTGAACAGGAAAATGGTTTTAAAAAGAGAGAGCTTTGTAAGTCATCCTGAGGATAACAGGGATCCATTGAAGAATTTTAAGCAGGGCAATGACATCATAACGTGATGTGGTCGTCAAGAAACAGGAAAGAGTCACAGATAATGCCTAGGCTTGGAGAACTGGTTGGACGGTGATGTTGCTGTACTTCACTGAGACAGAACACAGGAGGAGGATGAGGGGTTCAATTTAGATTGTTGATCTTGACCTGCTTTTGGGACATCTGAATGGAGATGCCCAGAAGACGGAGGGATATACAACAGGGAGCCCAAGCGAGAGAACTGAGCTAGAGATTAAGATTTGAGAGATGTCGTCATGTAGGTCGTAACTGAAGCTGTGAGAGTAGACCCAGGAGAGTCCCCAGAGTGAGCGTGAAGCCACAGCAGAGTCTGGGGCAGAACCCTGAAGAATGCCCCATTGAAGGGCTGGGCAGAGCAAGAGGCATCCAGGAGGACCACGGAAAATGCAGAATTGCACCAGAGGCTTTCTCTTTGCACTTTCCCTGTGTCTTCTCAGGTAGCAGCTTGTCTTCATTCCCTGGCGCCATGGCTGCTCTGTCCCCAGCTTAAACCCTCTCTCCTCTGCCATTAGAGAGTTCATCTTGCAAATCTAATGGAGTAATGAAGCCATTGATTTTGTTAACAAATGTTCAGTTCACTACAAGATCTATAATGGGAATTCATTTTGGAGGTCGACACAGCTGTCAATGGAATTGTTTTTCCCCAGAGGCTTCTGGCCTTTCTCTGTTGTACACTGGCAGAAGTTGTCCTGCCTAGCATCAGAAAGACTGGAGAGTAATTAATGCTGTAGAGCTGGTGGTCCTGCCTAGGGCCATGAGAAGGGTACAGCTTGAAATAGGTCAGATAACAGGGAGTGGAAACAGAACTATGTCCCCTCTGAAATGATTTGAATAACCATAGAAGGCAACCATCACCACCACTAAAACATTATCCCCCACTAGTTATCACATCACCAGAAATTACATCTTTAAACCTTTATTACTTTTGAACAAAAAATTTCACTCTTAGAATTACTGTATGCTGAATTATTGTTTTTGTTTATTCTGCAAACACAGATTAAGAACTTTCTATGTACCTGGTCTTTATTAGGTAAACGCTGGGAATGTAGAGGTAACAACATCAGTCACTGTTCTTAGAAACCCATGGGCGAGGCAGAGAAGCAGAGTCACAGTGGATATAACGAAGCATGGGCCAAGTGCTGTTGGCACCCAGAAGAAGACCGAGTGCAGGAAGGTTTCAGAGAGAATACGATATCCGTGTATGGTCTTAAAGTCTGCATACGAGCACCAGAAGAGTAGAAGAGAAAGCCAGGCAGAAGGAACAGAGTAAGCCAAAACAAAGAATTATAAAAGGAGCTGGTGTGTTCAGGGACTGATGAAGCTTCCATATGCCTTGGTATGGGAGGAGAAAAGCAGGAAATAGGTCAGACTGTGAAAGGCCTTGTATGTTATGCTAAGGAATTTGGACTCAGCTTAGAGAGCCAGCCAAATGAATAATGCCCTCGGCTTCGGGTGTAGCACTCTAAGCTATTATCTGTCTTTAATACCTCGCTTCCTTTCTGACACAACAGACGAGACTTTAAGATAAGAGTTAAGAGAAAAAAGGCCAATAGAGAGTGGTGGGTACAAGAGTTGGGCAGTGAGGAACATCGCTGTCCTCAGAGGACTTGAAAGGGCAGACAGAAGGAGCTGGGACCAGTCATAAGGGACAGCTCCACATACATTTGTGCTTTTATCATTAATACAGTAAGGCACAGCCCAGGGCCTCAATGAGTGAGTCTCCGGGAAGCAAAGCTTCATTTAACAAAGCCAGCCTTCGCTTTGAGGGAGGTGATGATAGCAGGAGCCCCCAAAAAGAAGGAAGGCAGTGGTACTCACTACACCAGTGACTGGCCTTACCTGAGGGCCAGAGTTGCACTCCTGGGCCACAGGTAGCCACACCTCCTGGAAGTCGGGGCAGATACTGGGCAGTACCTGCCCAGGTTGTGATAGAGAGTGGCCTCCAGGTGACTCCAGGAGCAGTACAGAGGTACAGAGCCAGGAGGCCACAGCCCTCCTTGCTGGGGGTTGGGGGCAGAGAGGGAAAGAATGCTGCTGCTGGATCACTGCCTCTGCTCTTAATATTTCTTCTTCCTCTGACAGCCACTTAGGGACAAGGACTCCTTTCCTTCCTTTTTCATTCACAGAGCTCTTTCTCCTTTTCACAGACTCCCTGAGAAACATTTCCTCAGCCAGTCACGGCCCCCGCTCTTCTCCAGCTGAGCTCAGCAGCTCCAATCAGCACCTTCTCCGAGAACGAAAATCCTCAGCCCCATCGCACTCCAGCCAGCCAACCTTGTTCACATTTGAACCCCCTGTGTCGAACCACATGCAGCCCACCTTGTCCACCAGTGCACCTCAGGAGTATCTCTACTTGCACCAGTGCATAAGCCGGAGAGCAGAAAATGCAAGGTAGGAGACTGCCATGGGCAATAGCTGCTTGAGTGACCACTCACAGGGCCTGCTACTTATCAGTCTCTGTGTTTTAATTTTAAAGACAAGGGAGTAAAATATTACCTCTTTTCATGTGAGCAAATACATATTTATAGGAAAAAACACCATTTTTTGCTTAGATAAACTTTACATTTTACTGGTATCATCTGTGTTGCTATACAGTGATAATTGGATTCCACAGAGACCTCCCAATATCAAAAATCGTGCTATAAAAATTTTTTTGTTTAATTTGAGGAAAAAAAGGCATTGAGGGCTAGAGTTTCAGAATGGAAAAAAAAGAGTCAATTTACTTGTTGGCCTTAAGAGTATAACTATAAAACCTTAATATTATTGAGCAAATCCATATTTCACTTTTGTTCTAGAGCTACACTGTTCCATATGGTAGCCACTAGCCGCATGTGGCTATTTAGACGTGAATTAAAATTAAATAAAATTTAAAATTAAGTTCCTCCATTGCACTAGCCACATTTCAAGTGCTCAATAGCTATACATGGCTAGTGGCTACCATGCTGGATAATACAGAAAGCACACATTTTTATCGTCACAGAAAGTTCTAGAGCTAGGATTCGCTGCTTTAGAGTAATAGTCTTTGTCTTTCTAACACCACCAGCTCTCTCACAGGTACAAAGCCTGTACATATTTTTATTGCCTTTTATTCTCATTGTTGGGATAAACAAAAGCACAGAGCTCATTGGCCCTGCCAGAGCTGGTTCCCAATTGCTACCAGGGCTGGCAGATTACAAATCATATTCCTTAATTAATTAATTTAGAAGTGTCTAACTTGCGTTATGAAAATTAAGGCTATTAGAGAATTGGCTGTGTTAATATATTACATCATAGAATATTTTCATGTATAATCTCTCTTGAACCAGCCGAACACACTGAGAGATAGCCAGTGTAGATCATTTAGCTCCATTTCATAGATGAAGAAACTGAGACTCACAACTAATACATGACGGAGGTAGGACTAGAACCCAGATCTTCTCATTTCTGGTCCTGTACTCATTTCTCGACACTATGCTACTGTGGTTCTGATTTCTGAGTTATTTACCATCACACAGCAGAGGCTCCCGACACTCATCTTAAGGCTGCCTCAGATACCAATTTTCCTGAAGCAGCATGATTCATTTGTGTGAACTTTCACTAGTTCAGCCTTCACCAACTTATAGATGAAGAGCTGAGTTCTGAAAAGGTAGAATGGATTAGCCAAGATCACAAGTTAGTGGCAGAGCTGTAAATAGCACCTGATTCTCCTGAAGCACAGACCAGAGACACTGTGGATTAATGAAATCATCTTATTGGCTTTGGAGTCAGTCAGATATGGGTTCAAACTCAGGTTCTGCCACTTCTTTTTGACCTTGGGGCCACTTATTTAACCTTCCTGACCTTCACTGTCCCTATATGCACAATGGGAATGATTAATTCAGAGGCTTACTAGTGAACATAAAATGACAAAACATACATAAAGGACCCAGCAGTAGACAGTCCGTACACATCGCCAGTGTTCCTGTGCCCCATCCCCTTCTACGACATGTATGATTGCCTGGGGGTAGAGAATGGGAGGCCTTACAATCATAGTTCTAGTGAAAGACAAAATCTGTTATATTGGTGCCTCTCAAACTTTCATGTGCATATGAAATACCTGAAGGTCTTGTTGAAATGCTGGTTCTGATTCCGTAGGCCTGTGTGGGTCCTGAGAGCCTGCCTTCATGCTAAACTACAAGTAATGCCAGTGCAGATTGTCTGCACATCACACTTTAAGTAGAAGGTCTTATATAATATTAACAACTGCCACCACCTTCACTCCCGTGATGCCGCTACAGCAACAGAACAAATATATAAATGTCTCTGCTTGAACTAGCAGTTAGGGCCCGCTCTCTACACTCTCTGTAAAACCTCTCTTTATCTTCCTAGCTGGAGTTCATTTCTACTCTGAATTCTCATGGCAGTTTTTGATTCTGTCTCTCACAGCACTTGGAACTTTCTGCCTCATAGTATCGGTTTTTATGTTAATATATTACTGCTCTTTGAAGATGGGACCCAGGGCACACAGTAGGTGCATAATAAATATTTGAACAAATTTGTGTTGTAGAGAGAGAACATAATGGAGGAGATAGAACTTATCTGCAGCTGGGGAAGCAGCTTTATTGTAGGACTTTGACCAAACTGTGCTTTTCTCTGTCATTGTTTTCACTTGTGTGGGTGTGGGAGCAAGAAGGTGATAAGCAGGATCTCAGGGAGATTTTTTTTTTAATTTTATTGAGGTCATAGTAGTTTATAACATTGTGAAATTTCAGTTGTACATTATTATTTTTTTTCTGCTTTTTCTTCCCCAAATCCCCCCAGTACATAGTTGTATATTCTAGTTGTGGGTCCTTCTAGTTGTGGCATGTGGGACGCCACCTCAGCGTGGCTTGATGAGCAGTGCCATGTCCACGCCCAGGATCCGAACCAGGGAAACCCTGGGCTGCCAAAGCGCAGCACGTGACCTTAACCACTCGGCCACGAGGCCGGCCCCCAATGTACATTATTATTGATCAGTCACCATATAAATGTGCCCCTTTACCCCTTGTGCCCACCCCCTAACCCCTTTCCCCTCTGGTAACCAATAATCTGTTCTCTTTGTTCCCAGGGAGATTTTTGGAAAAATGAAGTTCAAACATTTTTTGCAGTATTCTAAGGGGGCTTGGGGGGTGGGAAGGAAGCTTTCTTCAGTCCAGAAAAACTATATAATTTCTAATAGTAGTGGAGTAGCTTGTATGATACTAAACATCCTGTAACAGTTATAAACTCTGGACAAAACTTTAAAAAAACAGCTGTTTGAAGGCACCGAGGAGCAATCATAAAGCAGACAGAAACTGGAAGAGATGTGACTCTTAAAAGAAGGGACCCACACTGGGCTGGGTCCAATTTACATATTTTTTCTATAAAGGAAATTCCTATAACGTATCATTCAAAATGTTCAGTAGACAATGAGAAATGGCTAGACACATGAAGAAATTGTAAAAGTTGACCTATAGTTGAACTCAGTTCATAGAAACAAACAAAAATAAACCCAAATTGTGGAGTTAGCATACAAAGACTTTAAAATAATTGTCTGAATTTCTTTAATTTATGGAAAGAAAATGGATAATGAGTGAAGACATGGTGAAATTTAGGGGGGAGAGAGAAACTCGGAAAAAGAGCTTAGGAGTTCCAGTTCTAAGTGTGGGACAGACCAAAACCAGCATAGCAAAGGCTTCGTGAACTAAACAGATTTGCACTACCACACAGAGAACAAGGATCAACACTTGCAGGCTGAACCTAACCAGGTGTATTGCCTACAAAAAGAAAAACATCAACATTCTTCCAGGGATTGTAACAGAACCCAGAGTCTACACGACATAATACCACAACATTCAGGTTATAATTCAAAATTTCTCAGCATACAGAGAACCAGCAAAATGTAACTAGATTTCAAGAGAAAACACAGATGTCAATCCCAACATAAGCCAGATGTTGGAATTATCAGATACAGATTTAAAAACCCATATTATAACAATATTCCATATGATAAAGGAAAACACACTTGAAATTAATGCAAAGGAGGTAAAAACTCTCTCAACCCAGAAGTCTACAGCCTACAAAGGTATCCTTCAGGAATAAAAACAAAATTAAAACATTCTCAGATGAAAGAAAGATAAGAGAATTTCCAAGAGATCTAATTTAAAGAAATAAGTTCTTTAGGCTGAAGCAAGATAGTACCAGAAGGAAACTAAGATCTTCAGGAAGGAAGGAAGAGCAGCAAAAATAGTAAATATCTGCATAATTATAAAAGACCATTTTTTCCCTCCTAAGTTCTTTAAAATATGGATGAGTGTTGGAAGCAAGTATTAAACATTATCTAGTGGGATTTTCACATGGTTTTATTTCACTTCAGCCTGAAGAGCTTCCTTTACTATTTCTTGCCATGTGAGTTTCCTCATAATATATTTTCTCAATTTTCATTTATCTGGAAATATCTTTATTTCACCTTCATTTTTGAGAGATATTTTACTGGGTATAAGATTCTGGGATGATGGTTTTATTTTCTTTCAGCATTTTAAAGAATACCAATTCTATAGTTTCTAATGAGACATCAGTTGTTATTCTGATTCTCATTTTCCTATATGTGATGTATCTTTCTTCCTTTGAATGATTTTTTGCTCCCTTTTTAAAAAATTGTGGTAAAATGCACATAACATAAAATTTACCATCTTAATCTTTCTTTTTCTTTCTTCTTCTTCTTCTTTTTTTTCGGTGAGGAAGATTGTTGCTGAGCTAACATCTGTGCCAGTCTTCCTCTATTTTGTAGGTGGGATGCCACCACAGCATGGCTTGATGTACACATGAGCAATGTGTAGGTCTGTGCCTGGGATCTGAACCCACAAACCCTGGGCTGCCAAAGCAGAGTGCACAAACTTAACCACTGCACCACTGGGCCAGCCCCATTTTAATCATTTTTAAAGGTACAGTTCAGTAGTGTTAAGTACTTTCACATTGTTATGCAACCAATCTCCAGAACTCTTTTCATCTTGCAAAACTGAAACTCTGCACCCATTAAACAACTCCCCATTTCTCCTTCCCCCTAGCTGCTGACAACATCCTTTCTGCTATTATCTGTATGAATTTAACTTCTCTAAGTAACTCATATAAGTGAAATCTTACAGTACTTGCCTTTTCGTGACTGGCTTATTTCACTTAGCATAATGTCCTCAAGGTTCATCCATCTTGTAGCATGTGTCAGGATTTCTTTCCTTTTTAAGGCTGAATAATATTTCATTGCATGTATATATACCACATTTGTTTGTTGACCATTTGTGTATCTTCTTTGGAGAAATGTCTATTTGGATCCTTTGCCCATTTTTTATTGTTTTGATGTTGTTGTTGTAGATTAATATCTAGGTATTAATCCCTTACGAGATATATGATTTGCAGAT